CACCAGGGGGCAGATGCTCAATGCAGGAGCTGCCCCCTGGTGGTCAGTGCGCTCCCACAGGGGGAGCTCTGCTCAGCCACAAGCCAGGCTGATGGCTGCCAGCACAGCGGTGGTGGCGGGAGCTTCTCCTGCCTCCTCAGCAACACTAAGGATGTCCGACTGCAGCTTAGGTCTGCTCCCTGCTGGCAAGTGGACATCCCCCGAGGGCTGCCGGGCTGCCAGAGGGATGTCTGACTGCCAGCTTGGGCCCGATCCCCCAGGGAGCAGGCCTAAGCCAGCAGGAGGACATCCTCCAAGGGGTCCCCAGACTGCAGAGGGCATAGGCCGGCTGAGGAACCTCCCCCTGCCCCTGAGTGCACAAATTTTTGTGCACCATGCCTCTAGTAGTGATATAAGTGCTTTATAAGATGTGTGCACAAGGGATTATGGGAGGTTTGAGCAGGTACCATATCTTCTTTATGATGTCAAAAATTAAACTGTGGAAGTAAGTCCTAAGGTCTGAGTGATATTGTGGTTCTCTACCCAGGAGAGAATATGATCAAAAAGGGACATAGAAAAAGTAGAATCTTATATGACACTTATTATTAACTAGAGGCCCAGTGCACTGATTCATGCACCGGTGGGATCCCTTGGCCTGGCCTGTGGGGATTGGACCACCAGCTCTCTGACATCCCCCGAGGGGTCCCGGATTGTGAGAGGGTGCAGGCCAGGCTGAGTGACCCCACCAGTGCACAAATCTGTGCACCAGGTCTCTAGTATGTATGTAAGATCTTTGCTTAATCTCTTCCCACCTTTTCCTCCTCCCCCCTTCCCTCTGAGATTCATCAGTCTGTTCCATGTTTCCATGCCTATGTTTTCCACTCTTGCATTGAGCATCGGCCCCCTGGTGGTCATTGCACGTCATAGCTACTGGCCATATATATATGATTTGCAAAATTCTATACCCTGGCTGATCATATTTGTTTTCTCAAGCAAGATCTCAGCAGCTGTCCTGGAAACAGAGATCTCTGATACTCACCACTTCTGGGAGATAGATATTCAGTTTGATAGCTTATATAGTCTATTTGTCCTACTGCTTATGTACACCAATGCTCCATGTGGGAACCAGTGCTTGATCTCTTTGTGAATTGAAAAAGACTGAACACACTTTTTTTAAAAAAATATATTTTATTGATTTTTTTTTAACAGAGTGGAAGGGAGAGGGATAGAGTCAGAAACATTGATGAGAGAGAAACATCGATCAGCTGCCTCCTGCACACCCCCTACTGGAGATGTGCCCGCAACCAAGGCACATGCCCTTGACCGGAATCGAACCCGCGCCCCCTGAGTCTGCAGGCCGACGCTCTATCCACTGAGCCAAACCAGTCAGGGCTGAACACACTTTTCTTATTAAGATAGCATAGCCATCTGGTACTCTGATTAGATAAGATAAGGGCCCTTTGTCTTTGCAGAGAGCATATCTTCTCTTAGAATCAGTGGTTATTGAGAGTCATTTTTTTGTTTAATCTAGATACCTTGCATCTGAACCTTTCAGGGGGCACTGAGGTTTCTGCAAGGGAAGAATAAGCAGCCAGAACAATTTGTAGTGAAGAAGATCTAGTACAAAATACCTGGTTGAGGTACTACTCCTGAAGGAGCAATCCTTTGGGGTTAGGAGTCAATAATCAGGTGTCTACAAAACACCCTGCCATTTTGACTAAATATATGTCTTGTTCTCAAGGAGGAGAAAGAAATGTGCACTAGGAGCCAGAAAGAGCAAAAACGAGAATGTGAGTATGGTCATGGGAAAGGTCTGTGAAGAATAGGGGCAAGGGATAGGACAGCTGGAAGAAGAGTAGGAAAAGGCCCGTCTCTAGAAGGAATCATATTGCCTTTTGCAAGCATTTATCCAGGACCTTGTATTCACTATAAGGAATACGCAAGTCCTCCATTTAAGAAGCTTACATTCAGCCCTGGTGGTGTGGCTCAGTGGTTTAGAGTGTCAGCCCTTGCACCAAAGCATTGAGGGTTGGATTCCTGTTCAAGGGCACATACCTGAGTTGCAGGTTCGATCCCCAGTCCCAGTTGGGGCACAGGTGGGAGGCAATCAATCAATCTCTCTCTCATTTTCTCTCTCTCTCTCTCTCTCTCTCTCTCTCTCTCTCACACACACACACACACACACCACACACATCGCTTCTCTCTCTCTCTCTCTCTCTCTCTCTCCCTCCCTCCCTTCCACGCTCTGGAAAAAAAAAATCAATGAAAAAACATCCTCCTGTGAGGATGAAGAAGAAGAAGAAGAAGAAGAAGAAGAAGAAGAAGAAGAAGAAGAAGAAGAAGAAGAGGAAGAAGAAGAAGAAGAGGAAGAGGAAGAGGAAGACAAAGAATGAACTGGGGAGATAGTTTGTACACCAAGGCCAGTCAATATAGGGCAGAATGGGATAAATGGACTCCTGAAGAGAAACAGAAAAAGATTTTCTCATTAGAGGTGCTTAGCTCTGAAGAAAATGCTGGGAATAATGCCAGGAGAAACTAAAGGAGGACTTAACTAACATCTTTTTAAAAATTCATCTGTGAACTCCAGGGAACTGGGTTCCAACCATTCATCATCTGTGGAACCATGCAGTCACTGAGGGTGGCCCTATTGAAGGGAGGCCTTACTATTTGAAATCCTTCATAGGTTCCATGGGATGTTTAAATACAAATTTCACAAGATTTTAAGGACAGTCAAAAAAAAAAAAAGTATGGTGCAATGTTGCCTATTGCCAACAAGCATGGGGCTCAGGGAAGCAACTGCAGTTTCTACCCTAAGGAAAAATCTGTTGCTCGTTAAAGGTGACTCTACTAGCCCAAGGCTCAAAGGGGACAAATCCATTTGAACAAATCTGGTGGAAAGCTTGAGACACCATGCTCCTAGGAAGTCATGAAATAAACAATGACTTTTGGCCAGTGCTGTTATTTATATTTAATTTTGGCCAGTGTTTTTAAACCATGCGCACAGAAGGGCTCCACTCCTCCAAGGATCGAGGCCACAGAGCTGTTCTGTGGGCAAGATCTCTAACATCTGCACTTTCCTTTGGAAAGCATTACTTTGACATCTTTCGTGCCTGCTTTTCTGATATGTATATATTTAAATAATAAACAGGAGAAACCTATTCCTTTGTCCCAAAGAAGGCAAAAATCAGTTGGATTGGCTATGGCTATGGACCACCGTCTCTGGCTGATAAAAGAGGTCAGAGCACAACCCCACCATCACCCTCATCCCACTTTGCTGAAACCCTTACCCAACAGCTGTGGGCTGCTGACAAAACCTCAGGAGTGTTTGCTCTACTAAGTAATCTATTTTTAGGAAGTGGTAAAATATTATTTAAATGTTTATTGACAATGCCTTTGTTGAGGATAAAAGGGTGAAGGGAACCCATAGCCAGTTTCCATCTCTTGGTGTCTTGCAGTTTTTATCTTGTTAAAGAATCAAACTATAATGTAACTCAGAGGAAAAACACTCTGATTTCAGCTGGTCCGCTGTACTGCTTCTTATTCACAGTGAAAAATACCAAATTTTTAACAAAATATGAAATGCAAAAGTGAAAACTATTTTAAAGCAAATAATTTAAAATATGGTAGAATACTCATTTTAAATGATTTTAATTGTATAATATTATATTCCAACTCAAAGAAGAATATTGCACAATACTTTTATATCACAATTATTATTTTTCTCACTCTCTGGTGAGATTTTGATAAACAAAGTTGACTTTGGAAATAACACAGAGAATGTCTTAATTGGTTAAATTTCAGTAACCTGTGATGAAATGAAAGCAGGATATCACATTCATATAAAAGACAAGTACATATTCATAAATTCACTTGGCTGTAGTGAAAAATAAACTTCTCATGTACTTAATAAAACTTAAAGAAAAAATTGAGAATGCTGTGAAAATAGACTGTAACTCCAAATTTTTTTCATGTACTCTTTTGCTATTGAAAATCCATTACACCTGCAAGACTTCTAAGAATAACTGATCACATATGAAGAAGCTAACATCTGACATTTTTAAAACAAAATCTAGATTAAGTAAATACAATTTTGCACTGTTAACAAAATCTGTGAATGGTAAGGTAAAATTAACCAAATAACATAAACAAACAAAAATAACCCACCAGAAAAAAGATGTATCGTGTCATGGCACCTAGAAATATTTCTGTTCAAATGTATGAATCTACAGCATTTTCCCTTTGCAACAAACATAGTGTCATCACAGAGTAAGGAGGAAATGCTGAAAGTTTAAGAACATAAAATATTGTCCGGGCCAGGTGAATCTGTTGGTTGGAGCATCGTTTTGGCACCAAAAAGGTTGCATGTTCTATTCCGTCAGGGCACATACCTAGGTTGTGGGTTCAATCCCAGTCTGGGCACATATGACTGACAGGCAACCAACCAGTGTTTCTTTCTCACATGTTTCTCTCTCTCTCCCTCTTTTTCTAAAATCAATAAACATATCCTCAGGTGAGTATTAAAAACATAATAGCAAGATAAATAAAACATTAGTGGTCACTAAGCAACATTAATTCCATGGAACTCCCAATTTTATGAATTCATTACAACCATTTTTATTGTTTCTCCTCTTTGCCTTCTAATTAGTATTTTTAGCAGAGGCATTGCACTGGAGGCCCAGAGGGGGGTACATGTGCCAGTTGTGTTTTTTAAACTCCCATTATGTGTTTTTGTTAATTTTAGAATTGTTGCTTATCAAATTCATGAACACACCCTAACTTTGCTCTATTTTTTATTTCCAGGAAAATTCAACCACAGCATAAAGAGAAAAGATACAAACATGTTACACTGTCTGACACAGCATTCACTCTTGCTCTGCCACTGACTTTCAGAAGCTGGGAATTATTTCAGAATTGTTGGTGTCTCTGTTAATGCTTAAGTTAGATATTCCACACCATGAATTGTTTTATGGTTGTCCAAAGATACAATTAATTGTTCACATTTGTAAACATTATAGGTATCTAACATCTGGAATATTTACTCTATCCATTATTTTCATTAAGCCCTAATATTTTATTAAATACTTGAAAAAAATCTTTGTAGAAGATACCCTCAGAAACACTCTTCTCAAAAAGAAAAGGGTAAGATAATGGAATTAGTTTGTTGTATCTTAAACTGAAAACACTAATTATGATCATACATCAGAAAACAGAATTATTCCATTCAAAACTGATTCTCATTCATATTGATGATTGGAGATTTACTTACAATAAAAGATAGAGAAATTATGTAGCCTTGGATGATGCCAGACTTGCATGAGGGACAATTTTTTCAATTGAATGTGGATATTGGGCTATGACTATTTATGATCTTGTTTGTTTATTCATGAGCTAAGGATATGACTATTTGTTGTTTTCTGTTTGTTTTTAATATTGTGTTCTATTTCAAAACCAGTTTTAAATTTTTTAAACTAATTTTAACCATCTGTCACTTTAATTCCATTTGGGTTTCAACAGAGGACTTATTTATAGCATGGGCAGAGAAAAGCTCAGCATCCATTTAAATGACCAATTACACCGTCATCCTCACTCAGCATTGCAAGTACCAAACTTCATTATAAACTCAGGAAAAATAAAACTTCAGATCCAAATATACATAAATTACTTGTAGCATTTTAAATTAAAGTCAGGAAATATTTAAAGTCTTATCTTCTAGCCTTTTCACAATTAGTGTAATAACATTCCCACAAGTTGAGAAAAAGTTATTTGCTTCAAATGCCAATCTGTGATATATCTGAATATTTTTGCCGTCAGAAATATTGGCAAAAATGGAACTTAATTGTGAGTGAAAAATATATAACAATACTAAATAAAACCCTTCCCTAGTTGAAAACATCATTCAGAAACATTTGCAGAAAACAGAACCCAAAACAACAATTTCTTAAATCTTCACACAAATACATCTAGTTTTCTTTAATCAGTAATCAAAACCCTGCAGGTTATGTGACACATACAATCACTCAAGCTAGGGCAAACCTACTATAGCATTTCTTTTACTTACAAAGATCAAAACTAATTTTACATAAAATATAGTAATTTCATATATAATACCTACTGATTATAATTTGCTAATTCCACAAGGTATACCTTAATACCTTACAAAGTTACATAGGGGAGGAAATCCAACATTAATTTTTCTATTCCAGAGACTCAGTATGGACTCCCCTCTTTGGGCATATAAACCTGGGTACAGCCTGTGGTCTGGAGAAATGGGCCAACAGTATTATTGGTGTGGTTTTTAGCTATCCTTGTGACACCCAGAGCACAGTTTCCTTAATCTAAGTAAAGTTACATGATAGATGATTCCTGCCTTCAGAAACTGATGTGTCAAATATTTATTTATCTTAGTTACCTTTTAAAAACCTTATTGACAACATGTCCACATTGACAAAGTCTTTAAAAATAAAAACCCTATATTAAGGCTTTCAAGTAGACTTTAGATGCACATTTTCACATAAATTTAAGTTCAACAGCAGCTCTGACATTGAGATTTAAGTAATTCATGTGCTTTTTATCTTTAAAGAATATATTCTCTAACCTATATGTGATTTCTGAAAATCTGTCCAACTCCTATCTACAAGAAAAAAATTATCTAGGCATTTCTATTACCATTTTTTAAAAAGATGCTGATACTTTCTAGGTCAGTTTTTTATTTTCAGGCTTTCATTTAGGTAGATTGTGAGAACTATCTTGATATCCTTTTTCTAAGTCCTGTACATATAAGTAAATAATGCAAACAGAAAGATAATTGAACTACCGGTTGAAGGTGTTTCTATAATCCTTACATGTTAAACTCATACATCTCCTTTTATTCATTTGTTCCATATGAAAATCAATTCATCCAAGGGTTTTGGCACAGAACACTAGAAAGAGCAACTTTAAAAAAACTGTCTGTAAGTGTTTAAAATTAAACTTTAAACCAGACCGTTATCTGTTAATGTTGAACCGTGATCAGAACCACAGCACTGTACAAGCAATAATAAAAACTCTTCCAGAAGCTCCTGCTTCTGTTTTACCTCTTGAATTTCTTTCAGGAAATATATAGTGTTGTACTTTCTTTTCTTCAGAAATAACAAATTGATCAAAGAAAATGATTATAGGTTACTGTTATAAATGCACCAATACCCATGCTTTGAAGAACTGACAGTGTATTCTACAGATATACTATATGTGCCATAGACTATGAAAAAGGAAACACTTTCGGGGAAAAAAAAATCACATCACAAAGTGTATTATAAAAATAAATTACATAGCATGTGCCCATGGACCTGAAAGCTTTGCAAAAGGAGGAGAAATTGCTTTTGACACAAAGATTGAATTGCTCTTGCAACCTATTTTTATATTATCAGCAATGCCATTTTCAGCTTTTACATTATATCCTCAAAAAAATTCACTGGAAGTAGAAAATTATTTTCAGTAGTGATCAGTAGCCTGGAGGACCTTAGTGATGATGGAGAGCTGTAGTAACACTATCCATTCAACAGGGATTCAGAGGCAGTACACACACCCAGTATGTGCTTGATTTACCATTTCATCGGGAGTTCATGCGTAACTGGTGAATGATGATGCTTTCTATAAAGAGAAGAAAAACACAGCATTTTCAATTACACTGAAACTCAAATCAATAGTTTATGTGAGGATCAACACCACATCATTTAATTAAAAGACCATGGATGTTAAACAACACAACAAACAAAAACAGGTACATGAGCCCAATAGCTTCTCCTGCAGTTTTTTACTACTCTTGGGTAACATCTTTGTATTGGCGTAGGTGCTTTACCTCCAAAATTCTTAAAGCTTTTCAGAAACCACATCTAATATTCTAACAATATTAGATCAATTTTACTCAAGCAAAGAAATAAAGACAATAATTACTATATACAAGCCCCATAATGGGAAACCAGACTATTTCCTAGAAGTAACTCACCTAGAAGTAACTCTCTGTTATGAACAATATTCATATACTTTCGATTTCTTTTTTAATGCGTCTGAACTTGAGTTTTAATAAAGAAATATTCATTATCTATTCTTAAGAAGTTAATAAACACAGGTAACTTTTTTCTCTGCTTCTTTTTGCATGATTCCATATATGCTTTTAAATCTAAATTCATTCGTATAAAAGTAAATAAAAAATAGATTGAGATAGCAATTAGAACAGTACGAGCCACATTGTGGGTGTGTGATATTTATATTTATTGATTTATTTTATTTTATCTTAATCTATATGCCTTCATGAACAAGTATCTTTTTTTTTTTTTCATTCTATCATCCAAGGATTGTTTATTGAGGCCCAATTACGTGCACATCACTGTGCTAGGCATGGAACTACCTTGGTGAGAAAAAATGACAGAGTCTTGTCATTGCTGAGATTATAAAGAGCATAGGAAAGAAATCTAAGCCTCAAATGGTTCCTCTGTCTGAAAAAAAACTATTACCTCCCTGTCACATATGGCAATGTTGTAAGTGTAGAAAATAACATCAGGGTTTGTCAATAGGGTGAGAAAATTTCCACCTATTATTTTCACTTTAATTTTAAATACTAGTTTAATTTTTATTTTTACTTCGATAATTTATATCTAAGCATTAAATAAAGTACATTATGTCATAGACCTATTGGTTTGTGCTAATTATGTTCAGTGGGTCAAAAACAAAATGTTTCTTAATTCTTTCATTAAATTACCACTAGGGGGAGATATTTCCATTCCTTCCTTCTACCTATCAATTAAAATTGGGATAAAGCAGGTAAGAAAGCAAAATAAAATAAAATGTATAAATGTTTACATTTAAATATAAAATTTTTATAAAGCTTTTATGACATACATACGATTTTTTCACTATACCGGAAACCTTTAAGAATCATCCTCATGTTTTTCACTGGAAAATTGTTCTAACTTTATAATTTTTCAGTGCCTAAAAATATATCAAAATCTTAAGGCAAAAACTAAAAACACTAATTAAAATATTATGTAGTTAAAAATCACTATCTAAGATTAAAATGCTATTTCCCACTCAACACTTTAAAAAAAAAAAATTTCTGTAGCCCTAACTGGTTTGGCTCAGTGGATAGAGTATAGGCCTGCTGACTGAAGGGTCCCGGGTTTGATTCTAATCAAAGGCATGTGCCTCGGTTGTGGGCACCATCCCTGGCCCTGGTCGGGTGTGCAGAAGGCAACCAATCTATGTGTCTCTCTCACATTGATGTTTCTCTCTCTCCCTTCCACTCATTAAAAATCAGTGGGAAAATATCCTCGGGTGAGGATTAACAACAACAACAAAATTTCTGTAATTTTTCTAAGAGTGAAAATGCATAGTTCTCAAATATCCATAATAGAATTAAAGCATCTTTCCCGATTTCCTCTTTTAAAAAAAATAGAAAACATACATTTTAAAAAGTGAAATCCACATTGTTCTTATTGTAGATGTAATTCAGAATGCTGGTGCCTTTGTTTCCTCACTACAGAACGAGGGTATTGGAGATCATCTCTAAAATCCCTTGTGGGGCTACTATTTTGTGTTACTGTCATACCATCTTCTCTCACCTTGAGTGTGCAGACCTCTAAATTCCTAGAGTCGCCTTCTCTTAATCTAGCACTTTGTAATCTCCATAATAATAATAGCTCTTCATAATTATCACTTGGTAAAATACATATGGCAAAAGGGTTCATCCATACATAGAAGAATGTCTTAGTTGGACCATTACATTTTATTATTGTCTTTAAGTTAGCAAAGTGGTCACCTATGCATGGCTTATATGCTAATGCTATTAATCAGATTGTGTTATTAAAAAGACTGTCTCAGAAATACTTGACAACGCCAAATAGAGTTTTTTTAATTCTACTTTAATAATAAGATATGGTGTTTAACACTTGTTTATAAACTTTAAAGGAATACAGTTAAGCTCAAGTTATTTTGTTTTGTATACATGGAGACATATTTTATCTTGTTTCTAGAGATAGTGAGATAATACCTATATGATAGTGGCTCTATTAATTTATACTGACTAAACATATTTATTAAATCTGTCTTCGCTTATCATTTTATGTTTTGCCCAAACCTATAAACTAAAATAAGAATTGCCCGGCCACTACACAAAATTGTGAGAAATTTTTTTAAAATGTTGTTTTAAACCATTAAATTTTGAGATGACTCATTACACAGCAAAACTATCTGATGGAGCCTGACTGGTGTGGCTCAGTTAGTTCAGTGGTTGGACATCATCCTATGCACCAAAAGGTTGCTGGTTTGACTCCTGGTTAGGGCACATGCCCAGGTTTCAGGCTCAATCCCTGGTAGGAAGCAGCCGATGGCTTGCTCTCACATCAATGTTTCTCTTTCTCTCTCCCTCTCCCTTCCTTTCTTGCTAAATATCAATAAAAATGTTTTTTAAAAAATAACTATCTGAGCCCTGACCGGTTTGGCTCAGTGGATAGAGCGTCGGCCTGTAGACTGAGGGGTCCCAGGTTCGATTCCAGTCAAGGGCATGTACCTTGGTTGTGGGCACATCCCCAGTGGGGGGTGTGCAGGAGGCGACTGATTGATGTTTCTCTCTCATCGACATTTCTGACTCTCTATCCCTCTCCCTTCCTCTCTGTAAAAAATCAATAAAAAATATTTAAAAAAAAATAACTATCTGAGACATATGGTGACCAGCAAAAAGAAACAAGAAATGCTCTGGGGATTAATACCATTATTTGTCTTAAAAAAAAAAACCCCACACAAACAGAATTCCCAAATCTCTTCCATTTTTTATGATTCAATACAATAAAATTTTCATAAATTTTATTGAAGTTACAAAGTCAATGAGCAAATCTTATTCCATCTTCTACTCTGTCTTCACTGAATCTCAGACAAAGACCAATAATAGGTCATTTAGGTCCTCTAAAGTGAGCTAAGTAATAAATACAATTCTGTAATAATTTTTTACAGATACCATTTTTCTGACATTTATAATCTGTAGAGGCAGATTAAGACCAAAGGCCATGATTAATTACCACCTCTATCAATAAACTCAAAATAGCAAAGCACTTAAATTTGGGGCCTTCTGATATGCGGACATTTAATAGCACCATTTCCTTTTTTCTAATTGGGAGAAGAAAAAAAATATTAGTTAACATACACACATGGAGAGATTAGATTTTTATATATGTTTGACATTAACAGTTTACCAAAAACACTTAATGGCATTTTCTTCTATGTGTTTCTCTTAAGTGTTATCTTTATTTATTTATTTTTAAGGAACTTCAGGTAACACGCTAAATACATTGTTATTATGATTTATTGTGAGATGATGTAAATTATGAATTCATTCTTTTATTACACTAGCTAAAATACCTTCCATGGAAAGGAAGTTTAACGTATTATCAATTCCTAATTACAGTTGACTTCTGAACTCACTAACTACTCATCCTCCTTGGGTGGTATCTCAAAACTACTGGCCAGCCAGATGATGAGATCCAAGATGGGATTTAGAAATTTGGGGGAGACTATCTCTTCAGTGTTAGAGTGGGGCAACCTGGCAACAAATTCGAATTCTGATTCCTCCCAGGAGAGCTCCTTGGCTGTGGAGTAGGAAAGATGAACTCCTTGGAAAGTCATTGTCTTCCTCCTGAGCAATGCATAGTTTATGCTCTGCCAAACTCTCTGCAAGGGAACACATGAGCTCTGAATTTTAAAAATCTTCTCTAGTAAATGAGACCAGACCACTTTTATAGATAGCCTCTAAGCCAGCGATGGCTAACCTTTTGAGCTCAGCGTGTCAGCATTTTGAAAAACCCTAACTTAACTCTGGTGCCGTGTCACATATAGAAATTTTTTGATATTTGCAACCATAACAAAGACTTATATTTTTGATATTTATTTTATATATTAAATGCCATTTAACAAAGAAAAATCAACCAAAAAAATGAGTTCGCGTGTCACCTCTGACACGCGTGTCATAGGTTCGCCATCACTGCTCTAAGCTCACACACCAAAGACAAACATAGCAGAGGTTCTATTTACTGCAAGACTTTGTATCAGCAAAGGAGGGCTGCTTCATCCACAGGAAACTGCATACCAAGTTACAGAAAACATTGCTCTTGAGCTTTGTATCAGTTTGTCTGGCTTATGGCCTGCTTCCCAGGTCCCATAGTCCCTACGCCCCAAGGGCTCTGTCTGGAGAGCAAGGCACCAGCTGAGGGCTGTGCTGTTCTTCCTGCTCACCAGGTACCAAGCCCAGCTTTGAAGTTGCTGTTCGCTAGGTATTTTATCCACCTGCAAAAATGTCTTACATTCTGTACCTTTAAGAAATAGGAGTGCCTAGATATTGTTTACTTTTAGGGTTCTCATTCTAATAAACTGCTTCAACAATCAGTCCTATTATGATCGCATTCATAAATTAATCACTTCTGATAAGACATCTGTTTTAAATAGGAAGTCCAATAAACTTCCTCTGTTGACTTGGACTTGTTCCTTCTTTTGGATTCAGCTCAGCTAATTAAAAATACTTCCGTTAATCAGTGCTGTCATTTTCTTCAGGAAACTTTTCAACCAGATGATATAAATTCTCTTGGGGTTTCTCAACCACCTAATAG